CTGTAGATTTATTTTGTCTGGCATGCAGTTGTTTGGTTCCAACATTTAAAAATTGGAAGAATTCCTGTACAATGTGATTTTTTCATATTATCTGAAAATGTCAGGCACAATGACATAGCCTCGGCATCTAAAGGAGCTGTGAAAAGCATGCCTAATTTACACTGTTCAAGCTTTTCCACATTGCTGATATTGTAGTTCTAGAACCCACAACTTAAGGTAAATTGAGTTACATTGTCACATTTAATCCTAGTCCTTTCCTTATAGAATGCATTTCATTATACACATAACTCTCTCCAGTGTGACAATATAAAATATGCAGAGCTTAGTTCTCCTTCATTTTTATTTTCTTGATTTAAAAATTGGTTTAATGTTTTTGTAATAGAATAACTGACATTGGATTATTTACAATATAAAGACAGTTATTGACTTAAATTCTGGAGTCTGGAAAGGTCAACATAAATGTCAATAGATGGAAAAAATCCTTTTTACTGCATCCCAGTGTGGAAAGCAAGAAGGGTGGAGAGAAGAGTCATTCCTAAAAGCCAATTTTTAAAGGTGTCAAACCCATCCATGAGGGCAGAACCTTAATCACCCTTACAGACTCTACTCCTAGTACTGTTACACTCACAATTCATTTTTACAAGAGTGTAGGAAAACAAACATTCAAAGTATAGTATGAGTATATGACCTTCTTGTATGTGTTATGTAATTTGATTACTTTTATATGCATGACAAGGACTGACACATAAACCACTGAGTTATACTTTGATATATGGAAGCAGAACCAAATAAAACCATTGCTAACAAAGGCAATATTCTATTAAGTCCTTAGGTGAATTCTAAACTAGCAATGAGAAAATTATGATGGTATCTGGATGTCTTCTCATTTCTCTGAGATTACTATGTTCTGAAACTCCACCTTCAATCAAAATTTTATTTGGAAACCCATTCTTCAATTAATCATTGACTATCTGATTTAGATACTTACTTTTTACTTAGGATAAATACCTATAAATGTTAGTATATACAGTCTTAAATCATGTATTAGTTGGCTTCTTATTATTGCTATGAAATTCTGTATGGAGAACAAATATATATATATATTTAATAAATACCTTATTTTGGATGAACTGAAAAAATGGGAATAGCTATGCATTTCTTAGATAATGATAGAACTGTGGGGGGAAGGAGGAGGAGGACCGGCAGCAGCTGAAAAGATAAGAAGTATGAAATATAAATGACCTTTAGACCCCCTGGGGCATGGCATCTCCACCCCAGCCGGTGATCTCTCCATGGAACATGTGGAGTGAGGTACATAAGTAGCCTTGGCTTGGGGTGGAACCTAAGGGGGCATTAGGGATGCACAGGTAGCCCATTGGTCTTAGTTTGGCGCCAGAGGCAATTTCTAAGGGTGGGGGAGATAGGAGCTTCCTGGCTTTACCAGCTACAGTATCCGGCCTGGGCCAAAACCCTTTCATATCCTGTCTTATGATTATTATGAAAAGGGGCGAAGATTTCTCTCTTTAACTACTCCCTGCTGGCTGAGGGCGCTGTACTGGGGTCTAGGGGAGTTGACGGGATGAAGGTTGATGCCCAGGTAGAAGCTGGTGTCAGGTGGTTTGGCCAGGACAACTTCACTGGTGAATGCACGTATGTTAGACTGAAAAAACAAAGAGACAAGATGTTATGAGGAGATGTTTCACTGTCATATTTAAGGACCCAGGTGAGGTAGAGGGAAAGGTGTCTTGGATTTAGACATGTCATTCTATCAGGATGACGTTGAGGTAGGAACATTTTCACGGCAAGGCAGAATTCTGAAAAATTAAACGTGGGATTAGGAGGAGTGAAGTTATGAGAGGTGCTTATTTCCCATATGAAAGCATAAAAGGTAAAAGGTAGGTAGGTAAGGCTTGTCTCTGGTATATATGACGTTGGAGTCTGTAGGCAATCCTGTTAAAGAGTCCTGCTGTAAAAATTGATCATTAATGGAATGTAAGAAATTAAGAACCAAAGTGGATAACAAAACAGATAATAAGTACATTTGGTTAAATAGTTTTCAGTTCATGAGGGAGAGGAGACCACAGTGCTTATTGCATACTTAGGAGGCAGGTAATTAGCATTCAAATGACTGAAAGATTGGAAAGGAGTGCCATTGAATGCACTGCAGCAAGGTCATTACTATTAATTATCAAGCCAACAGAATTCTGGCCTGTGAGTGATATAAATGCTGATTCACATCTTCAAATATGCCTTGGATACGTGGATAATTTGGTAAAAGTGCTTATTTTCCCTGTGCCCAATTTTCTTCATTTATAAAATGAAAGTAATAGTATTTACCTCAACGTCCTGTGACGATGAAGTAAAAAACATTGATTACAAGTTTGTTGTATCCTTGCTGTATCCTTGTTGCATTGTTTTTGTAAGTTGATAATAGTATATCTTAACTTTTATTCAGGTTCTTTTAATATTCTTTTGAACAATTATTATCATTTGAAATTTCATTCTGTGGTCCAGAATTTAATTCTAACAACATAAGAAATAGTACATTTGGTAGAATACTTAATTCTAGACCAAAATATCTAGACATTTATTTAAAAATTTATACCACAGTAAAGCAAATATATTGTTGCTATTGCAGGATTTGTTTTTCTTCTAACTGACCCAGTAAGTTTTGTAGATCCAGTATCCCAAGTTCCCAGCTTATGATTATAGTTCATGGTAAACAAATACATTTTATGGCTTGTTAATATTTCTGGATAGACTGAGTTTTAAGTCTAAACTCATTTAGTTCTGATGTACGTTAAATCCAGCTGCTTTAATTCACAAACTGGGTAACATCAGAAAACTTTTAGTATTTAAGTTACAAATCAGCATGTAAAACATAAGTTCTTTACAACTAGACACATTTAGAAAGCATGAGTTTGTAGTTAACTATGTAAAATTAGAAAAATTATTCTCTATACCTAAGTTTTTCACAATAGAAGTATGATGGCATTGAAACGATCTCTTCGATATTTCCTCCTTAGGGATCAGAAAACAAGACAAATTACTGGATTGATTTACAGTCTCTGTCACTAAATCTTTGCTTAGCAAATGATGGTAATTATTACTCCTAGGAAGGCGCAGTGAGCATGCAGAGGGACATGTAATGAGGTAGTCCTGTGGTTGAATTGTTTTCCTTTAAAATTCATGCTGAAATTCTAGTTTCAGCGTCACTGCAGATGACCCTGTTAGTAAAGGTAATTAGTTAAGGTCACATTCTTCAGAAATATGTGAGTTTTATAGCTCAATATGATTGTTATGCTCATAAAAAGAAGAAAGTTAGAGATGGACGTACTGAGATTCCCCAGGGAGAATAGAGATGTGATCACACATAAATAGTGACTGCCAACTTACATGAAACTAGGGACAAACTCAGAACCCGATCTTCCAGGAGGCACTCAGAAGGCACCAGCATGTTGATTTTGGGATTTGAGCCTTCAGAACTCTGAGATAATAAATTTACGTTGCATAGGCTATCAGCTTAGTGGTATGTCAGCCATAAGAAACGAATACAAATGATAAATAGTAATTTTCTACAGATAAATAATCAGAATTTTTAAAATTTAAATTTATGTATTTATTGATAAGCTAAATATAAGGTTTAATAGTTGTAGTTTTATATATATATATATATATATATATATATATATAATTGAAAACAAGGATTGAGGTTAGATTGTACTCAAACTTTAAGTTACAAAAAACAAGAATTCTATGAAATAAACAAAAGGCAAGAAAGCAGAGTACAATACCAATTGAGCCAGACAAATACAGAAATAAATTAAGCCAAATAACAGTTGCATTCTATAAAGTGGAAGTTTATCAGAAAAGACATAAACAATAGTGTAGAAAGACAGATCAATTCTATGGAGTATGAGCTTAATAAAAATCAGAAAATATGAAAGCAAAGGACAAAGGAAAGCCAGTTGGTTCATATAAAGCACACAGTAACTGAAGGGAAAAAAAAAAAAAAAGATCTCAAATAGTAAAACTCAACTTCACTTGAAAGAGTAAGTGAAACAGGAAATTCTTGAAAAGAAACTGAAAGAACATTTCAATGAAGCAAGGGAGAACAAAATACTTCATAAAAGATTTACATTTATTTCAAATAAAAGTGAAAGAAATTTGATGATGATAATTTGCATTATTGACACCACATCTCCTTCTCCCTCTTGCCCATAGGCTTTGCTCATGTGATTGTTCTTCACATCAAAGTGATTTAAACTTCCCTGTCCCAGTAAATGATAGGCTTTCACTGTGAGTTGCTTTGATGACAGAAACATGTGAGGAAAAGACAATGTACAATCTCTAAATTTAGACATTAAGGCATTTATTTTTGAGGATCCTATATTCCCACAGGATCTGCAGGGTATTAGTGTTTATAATTTCCATTCAGATCTTAACGATCTTCAGCTCACTCAGTGATCCAGAGACGATAACATGCAAGAACAGAAGGTAGGGGGCCAATGTTAGCAAGGGTCTTGTCCAGCTGAGCCTCGCTGTTACCAACCAGCCATTATCTAACTCACCAGCATGTGGTCACAATCAACAATCCTTTTAAATCCAAAAGTTTTATGTGATCTCTTTCATAAAGTTTTGAGACAACAGTGACAAATGTATGAGAAAATATCTCATTGAGCCTATTAAACTCAACCCTAGAGAAATCATTTTTAATATTGCAGACTACTGAAAACAAACAGAAATACAAACTACAAAAATCAGAATGTAACAATACAAAGTACAGTGGTGGAATTGAATACACTCCCAAACATAGCGCTATGTCAATTTAGCTATGATAATTATGGATATTACATTATATTAGAACTTATAAGAATTGATTATCTACTCTAAAATTTATAACAACTTATCTATGAAACCATGAAAAGTATGATTTGGAAACAAGTAAGAGATTTTATTGATTACTGTACTCGTTATAAGGAAGTCAGTATTTTTCTTTTCAGGATGAAGCACATATGCAGTCTCCCACCACCACAAATTACGCAGTTGTTTCCCACAATTGGGGAAATTGCAATAGTTAGAATATTCAGAATGCAATAATTAAGCCTTGCCCTGGGAAAGCCGCCTTTGTGATTATGATATCTCTCCTGTCAAGTAAGTGTTGAACTCAGTATTTTTGCTTTGATTCTGATGTTTAAATCAAGAAACATGAAGCTTAATACAAACCCTAAAGAAATGTCTGCTTATAGAACAAAACACTATAATTTTCAGATTATCAGAAGGCAATAATAGAATAATAACACAGATGAGAAAGCACATACTTAAATATAACAAATAGAATGATTTATGCAAAAATCAAAATAATAATTCAAAGCCACTTATATGTATATTCACACATAAATGTAATACCTTTAGAATCTGGGTACTACAATGACATTCAATTTTATGGGATTATAGGATTATAAAGTCAGTTTTATGTTATTTATAAAAATCAACACCTAAAAGCAAATGATTTCAAATGTTTGAATATATCAGAATGAAAGAGACAGGGAGAAAGATACAAAAAGAATTGTTAACATTAATGTTAATATTCAAAGGCAAGTAAAACTCACAGGAAAAAAATAGCAAAATACTTAAACCAAATGTGCTAGACATACAGTGAAAATAGAGACAGATAAATTGCATTTATCTCTTTTGATACTTGAAACAGGTGAAAAAAAGGAAGGAAAAAAAAAAGAAATACAGTAGTGCTAAATAGACATATTTCAATCTAAAGCAAGAAAACAGAAAAGACAAAGAGAAACTATACAGATACAATGAACATTACAAAAATAATGTCACCACATACTTTTTACTGAGGACTGGAGTTCCAAGATCGAGGCACTGGCATCTGGTTTGAAATGCACTGTAATATGTGACCTGCAGAGGGTGATAGCAAGCATTCAAAGGGGAGCGAAGCAGCTCTCTGAAGTCTGGTGACTTAGCTGTTCATTCACCAAAAAACTCAGCTATTAATGCTTCTATATTGGAAGTTTGGGTTTACCACATGAGCATTTTGTTAAAACATAATATCCAATCTACAGCAACCCTCATCAAAAGATGAAACAGAAGAGAAATGACAGTTCCCCTACCATGGGCCTAGGAGCTGGCAAGATCATTGGCCTTGCTGCCCTCTTTGATTCACAGACCTAAGGACTGGTGAAATCATTGTTCTAGCCACCTCTCTTCACTCCAAGATCTAGGGGCTGGCAGGATCATTTATCACACCTCCTCCTCACCCCACTGAACTAGGGTGCCAGTGATATCGCTGGTCTCCCCTCCACCTTGCCCTGCAAACTTGGAGACAAAAAGGATCATTGTTGATCCTCTCCCCCCATCAAAAAAACCACAGCAGCCCCCAAACTATTATCGACCACTTCCACCACCTGAAGAGCCTTGGAGGGCTAATGGGAGTCTATGTAACCCCTCACCAACACAAAGAACCTCAGAAGGCTTGTAGCAGTGTGATGGGTTTTCCCCTCAAATAGAGGACCTCAGGGGGTAAACAGGAGCAGCAGTGAACTCCCCACCAGCTTTAGGACCTTGTCAAGTCTGGCAAGAGTGTGGGTGTGTCCTTCTTTCAAACAGAGAACACCAGATGGATTGAGGAGAGTGCCAAAATGATCTCCCCCAACCCAGAAATAATCAAAAGGGCCTCTGAGGCACTCAGTGACACAGTAGGGTTCAAGCTGAAGTGCATGCTGTAGCCAGGTAGATCTGGCTGCCTGGAACAGCCTGAAACTGTAGTAACAATAAGAATGAAGGGTTGATTTACATTTACATCAATACTCCTAGGTTAGTCAGCCCAGGAAGAATATAAGAATCACCCTGTAGAAGAATTCAAGTGACTGGTCCCTTTTCTTCATTGTGGGACCTAGAAATTGGACAAATATCAACCATACAATAGAACCCTAAGACATACACAATGGACAATTGAGACTAGTAGGACTGAACAGACCAAAATATTAATCCAAGAGGTGAAAATGACAAAATGAAAAAAACAAAATGCAATCTCAAATATCCAGTTCATCAGCAACAGCTACAGGTGATATTGAAATAGAGGTCATTAGAAATCATACTCCTAAAATCTCTATAAAAATATATCAAGTGAAATAAAGAAACAAATCCATGAGGCTATAGAGGAAATCAGATTAGTAATAATCTCTTACATAAAGAAAGAAAGGACAACCTTAATAGAGGAGTTGCTCAGCATAACTAGAGAAGCCATAGATAAAAAGTACAGAGCATTGAAAACTGATGGAAATCTTGAATGAACAATAAAGAAAAGAAGCACAGTACATGAAACAAATCAAACATATATCCAAGAAATAAAAAAAAAAATTGATTTGAAAGCTGGCAAAACCATTTGAATGAAGCTGAGAATGGAATTTGATGACAGGATCACAGGTAGTGATCATGAAAAGAAAGAACTTTTATCCATGATAAGACAGCATGAAATGACAAATTAGCAGGTTCAAGATGTTGCAAATAGAAATAATATAAGACTAATCAGCATCAATGAAGATGTAGGAGTCAATGCAAATGACAGCAGTAAATGATTTGCATAAGTAATAGCACAAAATTTCCCACTTACGAGAAAAGAATCAGCTTTACAGATAAGTGAGGCATGTAGAATGCCAGGCAGTCATAACCAAAATAAAGCTATACCTTGACATATAATAATTAAGATCCCAGAAATTCAGCATAAAAACAGAATACTAAAAGCTGTTAAAGGCACACCTCACCTATCAAGTAAAGCTTATTCAAATCATGGCAGACTTCTTAGCACAACCCCTCAAGTCAGGATAAGTTTGGAGTGAAGTATTTCAAGAAATAAAGGAAAACAGCTTTCAACCCAGATTGACATAACCTGCAATATTTTCTTTGAAAATTAATGGAGAAATAAAATACTTCCATGAAAAAGAACAATTGAAAAAGTTCATGTCCACCGAACCAACCCTAGATAGAGTACTGAAAGACATAGTAGAGAGAGACAAAAGAGATTACAATTCCTAGAACAGGAACAGAAAGAAACCACCAAGCAGGGCAAGCAATTAAACAGGGGGAAAGCATGGAACCAATAATAGGAAAATAATGTGACAAAGTTTAAGTATATATCAGTTACAACCATAAATGTAAATGACTACAATTCACCAATTAAGAGAAATAGATTGACAGAATGGATCAAGAAACAGGATCTAACAATATGCTATATAGAAGAAATATATCTGACTTGAAAGGAGACTCATAGACTGAAAGTCAATGATGGAAAACAATATTGCATGCAACAAGAACCCAGAAAAAAATAGGATAGCTATTCTGTTTGCAGACAATGTGAACTTCAAAACAAAAATGATCAAAAGAGGCAAAGAAAGTATGTACATTTGCTAGGGGAAATATTCAAGTGGAAGAGATAACAATCACAAATATATATGCACCAAATACAGGAACACCCAAATATATAAGACAAATACTAATAGACAGGAAAAACCAAACATGCACTAATACAATTGTAATAGGGGACCTTAATACTACGTTATCTCAAAGAGATAGATTAACTACACAATTTCAGCAAAGAAACAACAGAACTGAATCAAACCTGTGAAAAATGGACTTAGTAGACAGATAGTGTTCCACCCAAAAACATCAACATACACATTCTTCTCAGATGCATGAGACATTATCTAAAACAGTTCATATTGTAGCTCATAAAACATTCTTAAGTAAATGCAAACAGATTGAAATTATTCCATGCATTGTATCAGACCATAGTGTACTGAGATCGAAATTAAGAAAGAAAACAAAACTGTAAAACCTACATAAACACATGGAAATTAAATAACAACCTTTTGAACAACCAACGGATTATAGGTGAAATTAAAAAGAAATTAAATAATACCTAAAATTCAGTGAAAATGCAGATACAACACACCTGTGGGGCACAAGGAAAGTGGTCCTAAGAGGGAAAGACATGGCAATGAATTGTCACATCATGAAAATGGAATGAGCACAAATAAACAACCTAGCGCAACATCTCAGGCTTCTAGATACAGAAGAGCTAGTTAAAATCCAAAGCTCACAGAAGAGAGGGAATTTTAAAGACCAGAGCTTATATTAATACAACTGAGACTAAGAAAACAATACAAAAATTAATGAATTAAAGAGCTGGAAATAAAATTGACAAACCTCAAGCCAACTTTATCAAGAAATAGAAAGAAAAAACTCAAATTCATGTAGTAAGGAATGAAAAGAGTGAAATTACTACAGATTTTATGGAAATTAAAAAGATGATGAATACCTACTTTTAAAATATTTACTCACATAAGGTGGAAAACACAGAGGGAATGGACATATTTCTGGAAACCTATGCATTAACAAAGCTGAATCAAAAAGATGTATCAATTTTGAATGACCCATTATCAACTACTGAAATTGAAAAGATGACTAAAAACTTAGCAACAAAGAAAAGCCTAGGTCCTGATGGAATTCACAGCTGAATTCCAAAAGAAATTCTGAGAAAACTTAATGCCAATACTCCTCACACTTTTCAATGAAATTGAAAGAGAAGTGATTCTTTCTAGCTCATTCCTGGAGGTAAATATTACTCTGAAGCCAAAACCAGAAAAGACCCAACAAAGAAAGAGAATCTCCCTATGAACACTGATGCAAAAATTCTCATGAGAATACTGGCAAACAGAATGCAGCAAATCATCAAGAAGATTATGTATCATGACCAAGTGGGATTCATTCCAGGAATGCAGGTATTATTTAACACATGAAAATCAATAAACCTAATACACCACATCAACAGAGCCAATGACAAAAATAATATGGTCATCTCAATAGAAACAGAAAAATATTTTGATAAGTCTAATACTTGTTTATGATGAAAACACTATAGAATAGATGGTATCTGCCTCAATTTGATAAAAACCATGTATGCAAAACCCCAGCCAACATTATACTAAATGGACAAAAACTGAAAGGTTTTACTCTAATATCAGGAACAAGATACAGACGTCTACTATGACTACTTCTATTCAATATCGTTCTAGAAATGTGAGCCAGAGCAAAGAGACAAGAAAAAGAAATAAGAAGAAAAAGAATAGGAAAAGAAGAAGTT